GAAACAGCGAAGCGATCGCTGCCCATAGACATCATCAATTGCAAATACATTGCTTACCTTTATTCGACAGAGAAGGGGACGCACAGCAAGATAATATTTCCCTTGATATTTGTCTCCTCACTCGACAAATCGACTTTCGTTCCATCCTTTCTTACTTATCTTACTAGTAATGAACCTTGAATAATATGCGTATACGACTGGTCGCCCGCGACTCTATCCGTGCGGAATTAAAAAAACATACTTAGTAGCCTATGCGTCCTTCTAGACTATGTTCTATATGTATTCCAAATTTCATAAAGATCCGTTCAGTCGTTCTGGAGATATCTTCAAACAAACATCCATCCATCTAAACATTCGCATTTTTAATATTAGTAAATTATGTGTATTTAAAAATAAATAACATTATTTGTATAAGAGGGAAATATCTAGATCGCGTCTAGGGCGTGAGTTGTGTTGTTGCGATTTTAACAAAGATTTTACAAAGTAATAAAAGTAACAAACCTTTATGTTGTTCCCCTAATATATATATAACATAAGAACTGTCATTTATGTATGCCCTTCATCGTAAAAGACAACAAAATATCTTATATATAAAATTCTCTTGTCACAATTTTCGTTCCCATACTCCTCGGAAACGGCTTGACCGATTCTCATGAAATTTTGTGAGCATATTGAGTAGGTCTTAGAATCGGCCAACATCTATTTTTAATCCCGCACGGACGGAGTCGCGGGCGACAGCTAGTAACATCTAAATTTTTCCTGTCCAGCTGATAAAATGAATCTTATTGCTCGAATAGCACACATAAATAACAGTGTTAGTTATCTTGATTGGATCGTACGTTCCATTACTCCTTATATCGAATATGGGCCATGAGTTCCCTTGATGCTAATGTCGGCTAATGGCTCGATGCGGTCCATACAATATTCTCGCCTCTGCAATCTCTAGTGATTGCACAAAGATGCGATGCGGTTTCATTTGGTCACTTGTAATCAAGCGACTGATTTCATGCTTTTCAAATTTAATGCATGCATGCAACTTTATTAATCTATGTTGTTATATAGACTGACTAGCTGCCGGCGATTCCGTGTGCGCGGAGTTAAAAATACTAAATAAGTAGGCTATGTGTTCTTACAGATTATGTTCTTCGTGTTCTATGTTTAGGATACCTTCTAACAAACATCTATTCATCCATTCATTCATGTAAACTTTGCCATTTATACAAAGATTAATAGGATTTTGCAAACTGGATAGGATATAGAGGGAGGGAAAATATTTCTTAAAAAAAATCAAATTCTATCAATTTCTAGAATTTATATTAGTTTTTGTCAATTTTATTGATTTTATATAAATCCAGTTTCTTCCTAAATTAATCTCACACTTGTTTTTGCTTTGCAATTATTATTATTATGTTACTGGATAAACATTTTCCGAAAACAATTTCTTTGTTGATTAAACACGATTGCACTTTGTCTTGCCAAAGTTAGGGAGTTTTCTTGTTGAAATTTAATCCATTAGAAGTTTGTTTGACGGTTGTTATCTGTTGTTCTCTGCTACAAAACAATAGAACTAACACGGTGTTTGTCACGACAAAGATGCTTTTAAGTAATAGAAATAGGGTGAAATATCATGATATTAGTTTCTGTTCGGCACTTTCTATGATAGACTAGCTGTCGCCCACGACTCTGTTCGCGCAGAATTAAAAAAAACATTATTAGTAGCCTATGTGCTCTTCCAAACTATGTTCTATATGTATTCCAAAATTCAGTGAGATCCGATCAGCCTTTTCGGAGATACCTTCAAACAAACATTCATCCATTAAATGTTTACATGCGTGGATTTGTTTGAAGGTATCTCCGGAACGGCTCAATGGATTTTGATGTAATTTGGCACACATATAGAACATATTCTAGAAGAACACATAGGCTACTTATTAAGTTTTTTTGTTAATTCTGCGCGGACGGAGTCGCGCCCGACTGCTAGTAAGTACTAGATGAAGTAGGTTAAGAGTCAATGTACATAACTTCATAATTATCGGTCTACTCCCTCGGGGTTAAAGGCGTGAGATTATTGGTTTTTTTTTTAAATTGCTCTTTTATTAGGGAAGGAACCATGTTCTTAATATTTTTTTTCTTCTGTGTTACTGTGTTTTTCTTTTGTTTTTATTAGATTAAAATTGACAAGAAACTTTTCTTAAATTCCCTCTATATCGTGACAGCGACATTTTGTAAGTAGTAGTTGTTTATTGTTTTAATCTTGGCAGTATTTTCTTCGCCAGACCGTTATTAGTGAAGCAATTAGGGAGACGACGCTGCAAGAACATTTATCTTTTTTCGTGTTAAATAAGAAAATAACCTTTGAAGATTTAACAGACAACGTAAGAAACTATTTGTAGAAATTTTTTAATTATTTAATCTCATAGCTACTTTATATTACATTTGAATCACGTCTCTATTCTGTTATATTAAGTTACTTAGCAAGCCAACGACCTAGGGTGCTTCAAGAAGCAAGCATACAACTTCCTTAAAGACCAACGCATCTGCAGTTCCTCTGGTGTTGTTAATGTCCATGGGTGTTCCCGTCGATCGTTTGTTCCTTACTCTAATAAAATTAAGACCTATATGTACCTTGTTTTATGTTTCCTTTATATAATTTTAATCCTCATAACAATGGTAATTCGTATAGACCGTCAAGTAGCTTGTTTTCTTGTAGGTACTAGCAACAACTGTAAATAATTTTGTTAAATAAATACCGTGTATGATTTAACTTGAAAGGCTCTAATGTAACATGTTACAAGTTACTTTGTACGTAAAAGTTAGTGGAATCCTTTAACATTTACCCTTATCACATTCGGGTCTTTTGACATAATCTCTGAGTAATTCAAAAGCTTAGGTGAAATTATTTCGCAGTAAATAATACTAATAATAAGTTATATTTTTATGTAACATATTTATGATTTAATAAGTATTTTATATGATGCTATATGCGTTTCTTTGTTTGTTTTTTTTTATGCGAAAGAACAATAAACAAAAGGTTAGGTTTACTTAATAAAAAGATCTTGACAGACAGACGGACGGACAACAAAGTGATTCGAGGTACGGAATCCTAAAAACAACTATGTGTATTTTTTTTTAATAAGAGAAGGGGGCAAACGAGCGGCGGGAACACCGAGGTGATCAACGACACCCATGGATATCTGCAACACCAGAGGAACTGTAGATGCGTTGCCGGCCTTTAAGGAAATGGTATGCTCGCTTCTTGAATTTTTAATAACAGCAATTACATTTTCAACTGTGAAATCTTATTTTGAAATAAAGATTAATCGTAAAAAAAAACTTTTTTTAATCATCTCATTAGCATACTAAACGTCCCCACCGAGGGGCTCGGAGCCTACCCTAAGTTAAGGGTGATTAGGTCATAGTCAACCACGCTGACCAAGTGCGGTTTGGTTAACTTCACACATATCTTTGAATTTCTTCTCAGATATGTGCAGGTTGCATCACGATGTTTTCCTTCACCGTAAGAACGTCGGATAAATGTACATATGTAAATCGGAAATCGAAAAACACATTGGTACATGGCGGGTTTCGAACCCAGGACCTGCAGATTGCAAGTCAAGTGCTTGACCACTGAGCCAATTTCAATTTAATTTCAATTTAATGCATTATTCATTTGAAAGACAAATTAATTAATAATTTAAATGCATTTCTCTGATCAAAGATTTCACAAATTCTTAGCGTTTAAATCAAAACACTAGGACCTCAGATTTCACAAGGATCGGGTGTTAATTAAATTCTTCAAGACGGGTCCGTCTTGTGTTAAAAGCTTAGATTAAATTTCTAGAAAGAAATTCACAAAATAAACAATGGACTTAAACAATTTAGAATCGCTTGATTAAAAAAAATAAGTGACTAGTTATAAGGACTGATATTTGATTTAATTTGTAATATCGCGTAATGTTTTGAATAGTATAAGTTGAATATTAGTCTGTTAGATTTCATCATCAGCTCAATATAAGTCCCCACTGAGGGACTCGGAATCTACCCTAAGTTAAAGTTAACTAGCCCATAGCCTTTACATATATCTTTGAATCTCTTCTCAGATATGTACAGGTTGCATCACGATATTTTTCTTCACCGTATGAACGTCGGATAAATGTATAATGCATATGTAAATTGAAAATCGAAAAATACATTGGTACATGACGGGATTCGAACCCATGACCTGAAGATTGCAAGTCAACTGCTTAACCACCGAGTCACTGACGCTCTTAGAGTATTTAGCAGGCAGTAAATCGATCAAATGTCGAACATTGCTAACGAAAATAAGATTTATGTTGGCTATGCCTTAGTGTAGAACTATTTGGCGTGAAAACTTGTTTTTAAAGTAAGTTGACGCTCTGAGACTCGTGGGAGATTTATACATTTCCACACGGAGTTGGATGATTTATATTTCAGAAGCCTTTCTGCAGCCTTTCTGCAGCCTTTCAGATAATGTCAATGTTACATTACAATATTCTATAGTTCCACGAATAATTAAATTCTACCATAATTGAGTATTTTTCGTCGACAATTGATTTGTTTTTATGCTAAATTTTATTTTTGGAATTACTTTTGTAAAAAATGTGATTTTGGTGTATGTACATATATCTCGTCTCTTCTCTTCTCTTCTCTTCTCTTCTCTTCTCTTCTCTTCTCTTCTCTTCTCTTCTCTTCTCTTCTCTTCTCTTCTCTTCTCTTCTCTTCTCTTCTCTTCTCTTCTCTTCTCTTCTCTTCCCTTCTCTTCTCTTCTCTTCTCTTCTCTTCTCCGTTCTCTTCTCCGTTCTCTTCTCCGTTCTCTTCTCCGTTCTCTTCTCCGTTCTCTTCTCCGTTCTCTTCTCCGTTCTCTTCTCCGTTCTCTTCTCCGTTCTCTTCTCCGTTCTCTTCTCTGTTCTCTTCTCTGTTCTCTTCTCTGTTCTCTTCTGTTCTCTTCTCTGTTCTCTTCTCTGTTCTCTTCTGTTCTCTTATGTGCTGTTCTCTTCTCTTCTGTTCTCCTCTGTTCTCTTCTGTTCTGTTCCGTTCTCTTCTGTTCTCTTCTCTTCTCTGTTCTCTTCTCTGTTCTCTTCTCTGTTCTCTTCTCTGTTCTCTTCTGTTCTCTTCTGTTCTCTTCTGTTCTCTTCTCTGTTCTCTTATGTTCTGTTCTCTTCTCTTCTGTTCTCTTCTCTTCTGTTCTCTTCTCTTCTGTTCTCTTCTCTTCTCTTCTGTCCTCTTCTGTCCTGTTCTGTTCTGTTCTGTTCTGTTCTGTTCTGTTCTGTTCTGTTCTGTTCTGTTCTGTTCTGTTCTGTTCTGTTCTGTTCTGTTCTGTTCTGTTCTGTTCTGTTCTGTTCTGT